ATGTGTCCCTGCAGCACAAAAGCAGTGTTGAGTCGCTGGGGGATATTTGTAGCAATAGCCAACAATACATTGTATGGGTCACAATTATACATTTCTCTTTTATGCCAAAAATCATTAGGATATTAAGTAAAGATCATGTTCCATGAAGATATTTAGTAAATCTCCTACCGTAAATATATCAAAACTTAATGTTTGATTAGTAATATGCATTGCTAAGAACTTCATTTGAACAACTTTAAAGATGATTTTCTCAATATTTAGATTTTTTTGCACCCTCAGATTCCAGATTTTCAAATATTGTCCGATCCTAACAAACCATACATCAATGGAAAGCTATTTATTCAGCTTTCAGCTGATGCATAACTCTCAATTTCGAAAGATTGAAACCCTTATGACTGGTTTTGTGCTCCAGGGTCACATATAGTTTTTAGAAATGTACTTTTTTATTAATATAACTGTTAATATAAGTTGTTCACATGAGTGTTATTTCAGTATCTATTGATGTACTATTATAGTTTTTGTTAATATTTTTATACTTTTTTACTTATTTGTGTATGCGTTTTTTCTTATTAAAAATGTTCTCAATAGTTTTCATTCATCACAATACAGAAGAAAAGATCTGTCGCTACTTCCATTTCATCATGACTTTGAGGATCTGTGATTAATATACTGTATGTAACACAGCTCACTCATACTCATGCAATGTAAATATAATATGTGATGCATATCTAAAATTACCTGCCCAATCAGCCGTCACATAATCGTCTGGTTTCAGCACCAGCTTGCGTGAGTTCTCCACAGTCTTGTCCATCTTAAGAACAGCTGTTTCACAACAAATAACCAATTAATCAAATCAGATGAAGGAAGGAAGACTAATAACAGCAGATTAACACACCATTAATGACGAGCGTTCGGCCCATCGTCACGGCGACCGCTGACACCAGGCTGCTCTCCAGAAGTGGGTGGGAATACTGAAGTCTGAACACGCCCCCTGCCGCCCGCCAGCCAATCGGCATCTCGCCTGAGTTCACATTACAACCCTGAGAGAGAGCGAGAACAACCAATGTGAGGCTCTGTGAGCAATTATGCATAAACGTGTGTCATCGTTTGGATATTCAGATCAGGGATGTGAATGATTAATTGATGATTGATTAATTTTTGATTAATATGACTCTCAGACTGTTAATATGTTGATGCGTTCAAACTTAAAAACTGTTCAAAACACCTGTTTTACACACATTTTGATAGCATTTGGTAATTAATATCGCATGCATGCATTAAAGTCAACTTTATGTGTAAGTTCACATAGTGTTATAAAGTTATAATTTTAATGTAAAGCGCAAAGTCAGAAGAAATGTTGGAAGTGTTGTTCAATCCATTAAACATCTTTTTCTTTTGTTTTGTTGATTATTAATTAATGCCTTGAAATCTGTTTTATTCATCCCCAAATTCTGTGCTTTTCATTCTAATTTTGAAATTACATTTTAATATTCAAAAAGAATGTGCTATAGAGTTCTTGCTGTATTTTCTATATAAACAATAATAATAGCAAACATTCATCTATTTCAATGCTATTAACATTTATAAATGGATAAAACTACAATTAAGAATATATTTCTGTAAAATTCATATTCTGTGATGTTCTAATGTTTTTTATTAAATTTTAATAATCAAAAATAATGTCTAATTAGTTGTCTAATTAACAACTGAATTGATCAAATTTTAACAATTAAAAAAAAATCTGTATTATTATTATACAATACCAAATATTAATCCATTAAAATGATTATGTACGAATGGATGAAACCACAATTACAGGTATTTATTAAGTATATATTTATGTAAAATTCATATCTACACTGCAAAATGTGAAGTATATTTTAAATATCTGTACGTCAATGATTCATCAATTATCTGGTTGTTAATTTGAATTAAAATCTCTGTTATGATTATGATAATCTCTAAAAATTTGATTTGTTTGTTGGCCTGCAATATCAAATACCAAAGTAAGAGCATTAATTCTGTTAATGAATAACATGAATGGAGTGTGTGAGGGGTCAGCAGAGGTCATGGCGTGAACTCTGACCTGTGGCAGGAAGCCGGTCTCCAGCAGCAGCAGATGCAGCGCCAGCATCAGACAGTCGGACGGGTTTCTGCAGCTGGACGAGTCCAGCAGGCGCTCCAGCGTGTGAGGAATCACTCCATCCTCCGTCTCACAGCACAGCAGCGGCGGAGACACACCCTCCTCATCCTCCATCCACTCCTCCATCCCAGAATCCCTCACACTGCTGCGGTCTGCTCCACCGCCACCGCCGGCTTCAGCCTGAGACGAGACGAAGACAAAAGCTGCTTTGAGGACTCTCTCTCTCTCTCACACACACACACACTCTCACGCACACACACACACACATTCTCTCACACACACACACACTCTCACGCACAACTGCTTTGAGGACTCTCTCTCTCTCTCACACACACACACACACTCTCACGCACACACACACACACATTCTCTCACACACACACACACTCTCACGCACACACACACATTCTCTCACACACACTCACACACGCACACACACACAGACACACACTCTCTCTCTCTCTCTCTCTCACACACACACACACACTCTCACGCACACACACACATTCTCTCACACACACTCACACACGCACACACACACAGACACACACTCTCTCTCTCTCTCTCTCTCACACACACACACACACTCTCACGCACACACACACATTCTCTCACACACACTCACACACGCACACACACACAGACACACACTCTCTCTCTCTCTCTCTCTCACACACACACACACACTCTCACGCACACACACACATTCTCTCACACACACTCACACACGCACACACACACAGACACACACTCTCTCTCTCTCTCTCTCTCACACACACACACACACTCTCACGCACACACACACACACATTCTCTCACACACACACACACTCTCACACACACACACACACACACACACACGCTCACTCACACACACATTCTCTCACACTCACACACACACGCACGTACGCACACACACACACGCACGCACGCACACACACACTCACACACACACACACACACACACTCACACACACACTCACACTCACAC